GTGGGTCATGGTCTTCTTCTTCTACACTAATCTACAAGAACAATGCGTCCTTTGGTGTTATTAAAGGCATTAAAGCAATGATTTGGCCAAAAATGTACATCATTTTTCCTGTACTAAATGTAATGGGTTAGAGACATGATCGGTATCCAAAGATTGTTTCTTTAGTTTTGCATTAGAGCTACAAGGATAATGTAGTTAACCAGTAGTGAAAGCTTAAAGCCAACTGTTAGCATTCAAAATTCATACTTGTAGTATATAGTTATGTGATTTCCAACTATTATGGCAAAAAGTAGTAGCCTGAATGTTTTCTGAACTTTCGTCCTTTTGTATGTCGTACAGGGTCAGAAACCATATAAGAAGTCTGGTTGAGATTACTCAATAAGTCCACATGGTTTGAGTCAAGTGCATGGGGATTTAGGCATGCAGTTTACAAGATGCTAACAGGTGTCTTTAATTACTTGTTAGCTACAGTAGCCTTGTAGCTCCAGTGAAGAACTAAAGAAGCACACTTTAGACCCCAAACAAAACCAGTCTTATCTGATCTGTTGTATTTGTCTTGAGGGTAAAATTGTGTACATTTGATTTTTGACTGAGCAATTATAGTTTTCTCTGCAGTGGTTTAAGTTTATGTTGCTAGTTGATGCTACTAATTAACATATGGATTTTTTGTTGTGTCATGGTAACAGTAAAGGATTTTGCTTGACAGATACAATAAGACAAAGGGTGAAATCCTGTATGTCTGAAATCAAGGCTTTTTCCCACTGAGTTTGTTCTCAGTAGACTTTGCGGTTTTGTGACGACAAAAGCACCAAACTGTACATGTACTTGGTTGTTTGTGTATTGGTTCAAAATTCTGCAAGGATACCAGGGCTCTGTCACTCTAAAAAATAAATCTTTAAAGTCTAAGTGTACCACAATTACAGCAATAAGAATAAACCTTACCTGACGTGTGTTTCTTTATTTTTATATTGTAACCAATCAGGCTGCTTATGCTTGGCAAAGATATGTTCCACAATTAATGTACCAAACCCACAAGCATATCTTCACTATTATTTTGCTGTTCTTAGCATCAGCTCATGCTGAAAGAATGATAGGAGCAGACGCTAAAACAGACAGATTATGCTGACAGTACGGTGCTGACGCGCTGCGAAGAGAAAACCATGCTATGATGTTGAAGTCCTTCATTTGGTGCAGACCATTGTAAAAATACATTCCACCAACAGCAAACTGAACCAGGGTCCACTTGGATGTGGACCAAGACCTGTGATTTTTGCTTTACTATTGTTCCTTTGTTTGGTGCAGACTCAAATACCTGTTGTCAAAAAAGGACCAATCTAAAGAAAAAGTGTGGATCTGCACCATAAAATATAGGTGTAAAAGTGCCTTTAGAGAGATATGGAGATCCTGTACCCACACACAGCTGGGTACAGGATCTCAGTCCACAGCTGGGATCTCATTATAATGTTTTGACTGCAAGGTTTCCTTTGTGGTAGCAATGAGAGTCACAGAGTAAATGTGAAAATGACACTGAGTGACCCAAACAGTGAACTTACAAACTAACCAAATTCTGCTGAACTCTGCCTTTGACTGTTATTTTAATGGCTGGCCTACAGAGTTTCAAATTGTTATACTATCTGGTGAAGCTCAGTTGTCATTGATTAGGGCAGGGGTCAGCACCATGTGACTCCTGAGTTCTTTTACTGCCCTGTTGTTGCCACAGCAGAATTATATTTTTAGGGAAAAATAAAATAATTCAATAAAGCTCTGCTGACCGTTCTAACAGTTTTAACAATCAGTGGTCTTAAATACTGGAGTTAATGTAGGAGTTAACTGCTAATTCACAGAAGGTTGGCACATAAACTGCTGGTCACCACAGCAACTCAGACGAAAATCTTGCCTAGCTAGTAGCTAACAAAACAGCAAAGAGAAAGATTTAAAACAAACATGGATAATTTGGAGATGAATGGAGTCATTTGCATTTATAAGCATTCCGTTTGGTTTCCTGATATGTTTAATATGCAATGAAAAACTCTCAAACAATAAAAAGCTGCGAAGTCAGCTTCTTGTTTGATTTTTCCTGTTCCACCTCAAGTGGTGCAGCAGTTACATTCTGGCACCTTGGGCACCATTTAAGGTGGAACAGGTAAATTCAAACAAGAAGCTGGGGAATGAGAAGCTGACCTCAGCCTCGTAATAAGTTGAATGTCGAGATATATTTTACAATAAACTATTCCACTTTTGTGGAAAAGTTTCCTGCCGGAGATGCAAGAAAAGCAGCTAAAGCTTAAAGCAAAGCAAAGTACAGCTGCTTTATTTTATAGCCTATACTAAAACATTAGCACATACTGAGACATATTTTCTGCCGAGATGTTAAATTGGACATAAAATGTTGTGGCTCTCAAGGTGGTTTGATTTTTGTTGAAGTGACAAAATGGCTCTTCTTAACATTTGGGTTGCTGACCTAACCCTGGATTAGGGTTACGTTTAGCTGTTCAGTTGAGGTCAAGATAAAGTGAAATTCGGTTAAGTTTACATTTTGAGTAGACAGTAAGTTTAGAGTTATAGCAGGTTTAGGGCCAGTGAAAAGGAAGGTTGAACTAAATAAATATGTAGTTAAATGTCAATTAAAAGGTGTACAGCTATGAAGCAGCTATGGTGGAGTATCGAAATAAAGTGTTATCATGCTTTTTGACTGTCATCATTGTCCATCTGTTCTTAATGTCGTAAATCCCTCAGTGCTCTGAGGCCAAAGCCAATCCCGTTTACTTTAGAGTATAAAGGGTGAAAAGCAGGCAGAGTCTCACTTTCATGTCAAGCTCCAGTCAAACAATGAGTCTTATTTGTCTCGAGCAAGACTTGACATTCCAGCTTTAATTCAAAGGTCATTGCAGGGAAGCTCTGGGCTCAATCAATAGTCTGTCTGGTTACTGTGGGTAACGCTGAACTTCTTGGCACTTCTAGGTGCTCTGTATTCAAGATCAAAACACCAAATTCCATTGGAAAGACTTTAAGAATTCATGAATGACCATGAGCCATAGTTGAGAGAGGGCATCTTTCATTCTGTTGGGCCAGGATAATGAAGATCGTAGCAGTCTAAGTAAGAGGTGTGTGGTTTTGGGTGTAACTCAGAGGCTGTTTTTACAGTGTTAAAGGTTATTGACCAAGAACTAGATGACTATGAACAATTTGTATCAACTGAAAGCCTTTGACCAAAGGAAGATATTGCTTATCTGTCAGCTACCTTTTGTGTAATCCAAAACTTTTACAGTATGTGTAAAGTCAGTAGTGGGTGTTTGAATGCTGACATGTGGTTTAGATTGCACTCAGTTTCTACTCAAACACATGTGTCTGCCTGACTGTCTGCACATCTGTTTCTCTGGTGGGTGTTTGAACTTCAGAGGGTCCTGAAAAGCAGTGCTGCTCTTTTTCAGTCTGTACAGAGAAAAACAGTGTGACACTGAGGACAGGATGGTTTTTGCTAAATGGTGTGCAGTAGAAAGAACAAAGATCACAAAGAACCTTCAAAAAAACTTGACCACATGTTTGAGGGATGATGTATACATACTGAAGTATAGCCTCTTTTATAAAGCCCATTACAACTGAAAAACCAACACAAGACCAGTAGTAGATATTATGGATGTCTTGTTTATAAAGAAGTCGGGAGCCAAGTAATTAGGCAAAAGGAAGACATCTTACAGTCATATAGTTGCCACATACACACTACAGTGTTACCCTTAATTTAGGTAAATCAATTGTTCTGACAAATTCCAGTCTCGTGATGATGTGTACAATTCACCCATTTAAACTTTAACTTATGAATTAGTTTCATAGCATTTACTGAGTAATTTATAGTTATTATCAAGAGCCTTAAAATAAATAAATAAATATCAAACCTAGAGTTTAAGGGGTTGCTTCATAAGCAAATGCTTAAAGAGTAATTCCACAGTTTTTGCATAATTAAATTATTGGGAGGTAAAAACAAATCACCAGAGTTGTTTGATGTCAAAGGAATCATTGAGTTTTTATATGTAATGTTATTAATTTAAAATAGTGAGAAATCTGAACAAATAACTGGGGACTATTTGGCCTTAGAATGCTCTACCTCTCCACCATGAATGACTTTTTTTATTTGTTTTTGTCAATAATCTGCTCTCGAAACTATCTCAAAACAATGCCTCAGGAATCAGGCAGTGTATTCATAACAATATAATGTAATAGCCTTCTGTGATGGAGCTTTATGAGACACTCAACTCTTCAGACGTCTCATCCCATCACCACCACTGTGAACAATTCTGAGGTACGTTTCATTAGACCATCTAACCACTCTGAACGACTTTGTTTAAATTTTAAAGATTTAGAATTATGCAGATATTTTGAATTTGGGTGAAATTCCCCTTTAATGAAGCTTAACACTAACTTTGTAAAGCTAATACTAAGCTTTATTAAAGGAGAATTTCAACAAATTCCGCCAAAATTCCAAGTGTCACTGGGTAATCTCTCTACACAGTCAACTGCTTCTGTAAATGTTTCTTTGCAGGTGAAATCAGATGCAACTGCCTTATATTTTCTCTTACAGGATCACTTTATTCAAATGCTAGTAGAGCTAAATAACTATGCTTGTTTTCAAACACCATTTGTTACATCCATTCTTTTTGGTGAAGTTTCCACATATTAAAGTCCATGTAAAGTGAATTCTGAGATTTGTTTCTAAACACTTTATACATGTTAGAAAATAATTGCTGAAAACACATGAAAAGATTGTGGACTATGTAATTCTGAAATGTGGAGTTAGACCGTTAAACTGTTTTTTTATGGTCAGGGTCAGGAAATCATGGCTCAAGGACACACTGGAGCCACTGAATAATGCACTGGAGCATGACCCCTCCCCTAACACTATAATGTTATAAAAACTGGAGCGCATTAGCAACAGTGCTTCTCCCAGCCTAACTTTACTTTAGTAATACCTATTTCTAACTTGCATAAATGGGAGAAAGACAACCTTGAATTCTGCATCTGGTGGCTCAGACATTTGGCTGTATTGGTAATAAAACTGCTAGACAAAGCAAATTCTGTATGTTTGTGTGGAGCTGAAATCTGGTTCCTATTCTTCAGCTTCTTGTTCGGATTTTCCCGTTCCACCTTAAACGATGCAGCATTCTGGTGAACACCATGCTGAAGAGAGGATGCCCCCGTTCTGATTGGCCGTGGTTTTAACACCTTCAGTGGACACACCCCCAGAATTTCAGAGCATCACTCGTTTGGCTCAGTGGTTAATGACGCTTTTTTCTGTGGTGTGACAAACTCAGAACACATTAACATAACATATTAATTTCTGCTTTACATGGACTTTAATATTTATTTAAATGGGAAATTTGGACCCAGATTAGAGTAAGGGGAAAAGCATGCTTTAAGTATAGCCCACCAGGCGTGGGGTGCTGGGGAAGCTTTTCCTCATGCTCATGCATTTCTCCTGATCCAGGAACAGGGAGTTGGCCTTGACTGAGATGTCATGCTCCAGAGCCACTTTTGTCTTCACCAGGTTCTGCAGAGTGTTTTCAGCCTCCATCAGCCTCTCCCTCAGCTTGTGAATGGTGTCCTCAATCTCCCTCACCTCAATCACCAACCTGAGAGACAGAGAGAGAGAGATAAAGAGAGAGAGATAAAGAGAGATAGAGAGAAAGAAAGAGATAGAGTTCAAGATGAAGCCCAAAAAGAAAACAATTGTACCAGTTTTTGTGACAAGCAAATGTTACACTTCAAAAAAATGGATCCTCTTTTTGATTTTCCTGAAAACAGTTGTGCAAGACAATCTGCAATATGGGGTCTACAGGGCTTCACCTGTGATGTGGATTGTCTCTGCAGAGCTCTACGTTGGGTCTGCGGGTTCTCTCCTCCAGACGGGTCTGTGCCACCTTTAAAGGGCTCTCCTTATCCCGAATGGCCTTTTTCAGGGCCTCAATGAGCATCTCAGTCTGGAAGATCTCCTGAAGGGTCTGAGAGAGACAGAAGTGTATTTAGAGATGTCCAGCTATTATAGTTCTGCTATTCATGCTGCTCAGAAAAAAAGGAAATCTCATTTGATGTTTTGTAGTAGATGAAAGAAGATATAATTTAACAAAAGATTAAAAGCCATGTCTAAATTAGATTGATATCAGTTGGGGTTGCATAAGTACCACCAATACTTTTAATTACCCAAATTTGGTTTATGCCAAATGGGTCTTGTATTAGCAATTCAGACTCAAGTTGCTCTCAAACCTGATTTCAAATCACCCCAGCTCACAACTTATCTTACCCTTTAACTGACTCAGCTCAGACTCAAGACCAAAAAAAAAAAACCTAAAGAAAAAACATACAAATCAAACTGATTAAGTTAGGGCTGCCAACCTTAATGTGGTTAAACTTTAGTTTCCAACCTTACATTTATGACTTTGTCAGTCAGTTTTGTTTAGGTCATGCATGGCCATTACTGTAATGCTGTTCTCCCACAGCCCCCCGCAATGTCAGGTTCAATACAGCTTCAAATAATGAGCATTTCATTATAAAAGACCTTCATGCTGATGGACAGAATGAAGTGCAACATGTAGTAAATGCAGTATAAAGAAGAAAAACAACTTGAAACAGTGTGACTAGCAAGTAGTCTGGATAAAAACATGCTAATTAGCGATCACTAATTTAGCTGAAGTTGTAAGCTAAGTTACAGATCACATTTCTTTAAAAATAAAAAAATAGCTAGATTATTATGCTAGCTAGCACACTTGCTATACAAACAGCCAACAGACCAGCTGTTTCAAGATGTTTTGCTTTAAACACTGCGTTTACGGTGTGAAGTGCTTCAGTTCTGTCCTTCAGACTGAAAGTTTTTCTTTAAAAGACTTGTTATTTGAAGCTATGTCAAACTGACCAGTTTTTAGTCTTTGTTTACTAACTTTACTTTAGTCTTTGTAGACTAAAGACTTGAGACTCAACTTAGAATCACACACAAGAGACTTGAGATTTAGACTTATTCACCTCTGGCTTATGTATAATACCTTCAGCCTAAACATATTGCAAATCGTATTAAAATGCTGAAATGATCGCTCTACCTCAATGCAAATTCAAATAAATGTGCTTGAATGAAACACAGTTATTGACTAAAGGAAAGACAATTTCACTCAAATTACTTGAAAAAAGTAACATGTCTAGAAACAAGCTGAATATGTGCAAAGAGTCAAGTAAGAAAATCTCCCATGAAGAGGAACATTTAGATTTACCTTCAGGATATTTTCACTCTCACTAAAATACCATTTTTTCATGGTCACATTACTTTTAATTTACCTCCAATCTGCTCTTTTTCCCTTTTGCACATTTGATGTATTCACATTTGTCCAGTCACCGTAGCTCACAGCCCAGGTGACGGCGCTTTATTGGTTACCTTGTGCCTCTGATAAGAGCTGTCAATGGCTTAAGCCATCCGGACAGCATGAGAGCCTCACTATGGCCTTCAGTTAAACCTCTGCACAATAGCGTAGTGTGTGTTATCACACATGCATGGTGCAACAAGTTCATCCTTCCAGGTCCTCTTTAGCAGTATTTAACAGAAAACTCAGTTTGAATGCCTGTCCCTATAATGCAATTACAGCAGCGGCATCTGAATTTAGCACACACACTGATCCAATCATGAAAGATGGTGGGGGAATCTTGAGGTTGTATGTTTTGTAGAATTGAGAAATCCAGATGAATATGCATTCCAAGGGTTTGTTGGTCAGCCATCATTATCTTGATATCTCAAGTTGTGGAAAGAACCCCATTTCCTTATTTGTTACAGGAAATGTCAATGAAACTTCAATGGAAATATGGCCACATATCCAAGGGCAGCTGGTTGTTGTTACCATAATTCAAATGATCTATTTGGATTAAAGTTTTGCCTCTGAGAATGAATAACAACAGCCAGAGAATTTCACAAATTATGTTGGATTTAACCACAAAGCATGCAAAGAAATGATCCGACACGAACAGATGGCTACATGACTGATTTCAAAAAAGACTGCACTTCAGAATGAAAGCTGTGGTTGTAGGCTGTCAAGCGCACAGTGGTTTTAAAGGACTTTTATAATCGTTTTCATGTTTAGTCAAGGTCAAACAGGGACATGAGATGTGATATGAGCACTGTGTACCTCACCTTGGCCAAATGAGTCTGCAGGCTGTTCTTGGTTTCCGCCATTTCAGAAATGCGGTTGGTGAACGCTACGTTGACGGTGTTGAACTGGTTCCACATCTCATTGGAAGTGGTGTTGAGCAGCACCTCGATCTCATCTCGGAGTTTGTGGGATGCAGCACGCTCACTCTGAGAGTGCAGGATGTTATCGTCCGTGAATTTTGACCAGGAATCTGGTAAACTCAGGCTTTAATGAGAGTTAAAGAGAGAAAATCTGTCTGTCAGACACAATTAAGCATTTAACAGCATATTAGACTGATTTAACCTCTTAACTGGCATCCAATCTTCAGGGGTTTAATTGGTCCAGCACCTTTGGTTTATGATAAAGGTGATTCAGTGTGACAAACCTCACTGACAGACAAACTCTACACACCATACCCTCCCCATATACTGCTCTGTGAACATTTAAGCCATGGTCTGAAGATTTTCACAGGCATTTCAGGTACTTTTTCAATCCTTTCTGCTATTTCATGGTGTTTCAATTTCCTGTGTCAACTGGTTCTTTGACCTTTAAAGTGCTCATATTACAGAAAACTGAATTTCCTCACTCTTGTTTAAATAAAAGCGCCCGATATAGTATGTAAACATATTTTTAAACTACTGTTCACCCCTCAGTCTAACCAGCCCATATATGGTCTAATCTAAATAACAGAATTAGCCCATTTTAAATGTATTGTTTTTCTGATGTCACACACACACACATTATCTAAGCTACTTATCCTCCTGGGTCGAGGTGGGAAGGGGTGGGGGTTGCTGGAACTTATCCCAGCTCTCCTTGGGCAGAAGGCAGGAAACATCCTGGACAGGCCACCAGTCCATCAAAGGGCAGACACACAGACATACACATTCACACCTAGGGGCAATTTAGCATCTCTAATTTGCCTGACAGCATGTCTTTGGAGTGTGGGAAAACCCACGCAGACACAGGGAGAACGTGCACACAGCAAGGACCCTAGTCGCTCGGCTGGGGAATTGAACCTAGGCCCTTCTTGCTCTGAGGCGACATCACTACACATAAGGAGCCTAGATTGCTTTTTGAATGAGGCACAAAACAAAGCAACCAATCAGAACAGAAATAATTTATATAAATATCAGTCTTAAAGAATGCAAGAAAAATGTAATGTAGAATATTGGTATCTCATCTGAATGGATTTGTATTATATTTGATAGCCAACTTGTGCATGATTATGTAGTTAAGATTTTACCAACCAATCACTGCTAAATGCATATAAAAAAGGCACCCTTGGGTCTAGCTAGCTAGATATACTGAAAACTAGCTTTAACCACCTTTCCAACATATCAAGGCTGGAAACTCCATACAGTAACACATTGAGAGATTTTGTTTCTACATTGTTGCCACCCATGAGAGCAGAAGGCCTCCTCCGCCTCTTAAATGTTAAATACCTCTTGTATTAACCCCTGTCTATAACTTAATAATAAACCAATCAGTTTGCATTGTTGCCCATGTAGTTATTGAATAATAATCCGTATAAGGAATCAACTTAATAGTATTGGAAAATCTTAACAAACAATGTAATATTATGATTATGTTATTCAGACTAGGGAGCACAAAATAACCAAATGCTTATGAGATTTAGACCTAGTAATCAATAGCCCACTAGACGTCTGTCTCCTGTGTGGGTTTCCATTATAAAAGTGATGTTCCTGTCCTGCAGTGCAAATGTAAGCCTCCTGAAGAGGGTAAACTGACTTTATTTACACGCTGACCACTGTGCTCATTATGTCACCCACACAGGGTGGGAACCGGGTAATTCACCAGTCAGCAGCTATAGGTAAGTATCTTTGAAGACCTGTTCACCCATTTTTCAATGCTTTAACAACTTAAAAAGGATCAATGGGACAAATGTTTTTGCTCCACAGTTTGGTGCTTTCCCTGCTCAAACACAACTACTGAACCTGGTAACTACCACTGAGTTGAATCAGCTGTGTTTGGGTAGGAATATCACCAAACCGTGTTGGACTAAAGCCCTCCAGAACCATGGCCATCTGCTGTAAATTGGTCACTGAGTTTATGAAATGAACCTTACAAACGTCATAATGTATCTCGTAATAGTTCAAGGCGCAAATGTCTCCTGTCTGTCAAGAAGGAGCATAATTACATTATGTTGCCTCAGGGCAACAGTAAGAAATTTACATTTTTCTTAAAATTAAAAAAACAGTATCTTGATAAAGTATGTTAAATATGTTCTAGAGCAGGAATAAAGCTTTTTTGTTTTTATTGATTTTGCAGTTTTAGTGTTCTTAATAATCACAAATTGACCATTTTTCAAGGCTTATAGAACATTGATGGACATTTTTTGTTCCACTTTTAATAAGGTCAAAAATAGTTTAAACTGTAGAATAATATAATGGAACATCATGTTTATGACAGATATGAAAACAGAATTGTTAAAATTAAATAAATAAACTATTGAATGAACTTAATTATCTGCGATGGACTGGCGACCTGTCCAGGGTGTGTCCTGTCTTCTGCCTAGTGACAGCTGGGATGGGCTCCAGCACCCCACCGCGACCCAGAAGGATAAGCGGTTTGGATGATGTGTGTGTGTGTGTGTGTGTGTGTGTGTGTGTGAACTTAATTATGCCACACATTTATATTTAGTCAAGCATATTAAAGTTCTTGTATGGACTTTGTTATCTCAACATAAAATGCAATTTATTTATTTATCATTCATTATTTTCTGCTTGAAAGCAATACTCCTGCCATGTGAACACAGTTAATGGTTGTGAAACTCACAATGGGTCAAGGCGCTCGATGCCTCTGTAGTAGCTGATGCCGTCCGAGGTGTTCCTCAGCTGGTGACACCTGTCGTCAATGCGCTGGGCTGTGACCTTGTCATTCAAATCTCTTTCCAGTTCATGCTGGGATGCTCGATTTGACCTAAGAAAACACAGGGGTTCACATACATATGCACACACACAAACACGCACACATAGCAATCACTGTGTTCTCTTCCCTCACTTGTTTGTGTGTTTTCAGGGGAAGATTAAAGACTGGCTGTAAAATGCTTAGTTGAAACTCACGCTAGCTGTGCAATGGCTTTGTCCAAATTCCTCCTCATTCTCTCCTGACACGACTTGATCACCTCCACTTCCTAAGAAAAGATGAATAAATAAAACATAATACAGATTAAGGGCTGCTGTCGGTATAACAATGATGTTAAAGCAATGGTTCGAACAAAAATCTAATTTACACATTTTTACCCATTAATTGTTCAGTCAAGACATGTTTGTTGTCTGAAGTTTGCTTTTTTGGTTTTGCATTTGATTTATGAGCCTAATGATTAATTACAATGATCAAATAGACTTGGTATGATGTTCTATTATCTATAATAAAAGGACAAGATAATTAGACAAGTCATATGCTTTTGTTCATTGTTATAGATAATAACATGCCATGTAGTGTCAGAAACCACTGTTTAGCAACAACCATAAGCAACAATTCAATTGGTTAGGTATGCAGTCACAATGCGAAAGAGTGGCTATGAGCTTTTATTATTGGCTAGCTTTATTAGCCTCACTAGTAAGCCTGATCAATTTAATGGTCAATCACCACTCACTGACTATGTTTGTTTTAAACCCTTAAATGGCCAGCAGGTCCAAACTGCTGTTATACATCCTATGTTCATATCTTAAGAATAGCTCAATCAGTTTGCATTGTTTCCCATGTAACTGTTTGATAATCTAAAAATGCCGTAATTTACCTGGGATTTTAGTGGATTAAGGTTAAATGCTTTGCGTGCAAGACTCTACCTTGATCAGATCTTTTTCCACATCATCATGAACAAGGTCAATGGACATCCTCTTCTCTCGGTGGAACAAGCATTCCTGAGAAATCTGCAAAGGAAAAGTTATGCACTGAAGCCCATTTCCACAGTTTAAGCCAATTTACACAGTTTAAGGAAGGGCATTGCACTGTCAAATGGTCACATGGCTTCAAGGTCATTAATTGCTATAGTACTCCTGAATCTCCATTTTCAAACCTTAATTGTTTTTGGGCAGGCAAAACAGTGACTATATTTATTTATTTATGTATTTATTTATTTGTTTATTTCTCTATCTGTCATAAGGACTGGACATGAATACCAGGCTGTGCTGGTTTGATCCACATTAAAGACACTATGCCTTACGCTCTGTAGGTGTCTGTTACCTAGACATTTGTAAGAAAGCAGTGTAAACTGATCCTCCTCCACTGACCCAGTCTTGCTACTGGAGCTTTACCCAGATCACTGTGACATAGGGACATTGAAGAATGACCACCTGGACACTTCCTGTGTCATTTATTTTCACAGTTACCCAGCAACAGATCCCTAGTGACTAATGAAAAAAGTGACATGCTTGGGTACAGCGCCATGCAAAAGTTTTAAGTACCTGAAATTTTTTTTTTTTCTATTTTAAAAAGTTATTTGGTTGGTAGGCATTTGTTTGCTCAGAAAAAAAAACTAATATTACAAAGGATACAAATAATATGAACACTATACATATGTCAATGTTTCCGTTTAACCATTTCCAAGCTTCTCCTAATGGCAGCTTAGTATTGTTTGTGGATGTTCTCCAATATTTAGTTTGATGGAATTTAACAAATCTATGCGATGGTTGGGGGTGTCCAGGAAAAATCTGGAATTGAACTTTTGTTTTTCACAATATTGAGAAAAAAAAAATCTTGTTACTTATTTACTTGTTTGCTGTGTTTATGTTTATTTGCATCTGTTATAATGACATGTGGTGGGTTCACTAGCAAAACACAGCTGTTTGTAAGACAAATGGCTTTATATAATGTGCTTTGGTGTTTAGGACTTTTGCACAGTACTGCATAATTGTGTATGCATATACAGCTGCTATTATAGGACATAGAAAACATGCGGATCCCTCCCCTATAGTCTGATCACACAAACTGCCCATCAAAAGCTTAGGAACATTTAGCTGTTACTTGGCAATAATGCCTTCATTGTTCATTGTTGGTTGGCAAAAACATGTCCACATATTTTATGTCCTTGTTTAAAGCAGCTTTGGGCCAAAAGAGTTTCGATATGTGCTTTTAGCAATTCAGTAAAACTGTCAAATCATTATTTAAGCAAAACTCACTCTTTTTATCATTTGATGAACATAAAGCTGAATGTTGCAAAGTACACCCAAATGTTTGTTGTTTTTCCCATTTATCTATGGGAAAATGCCTTTTCAAAAATCTTTATCATATCTTCTGCTTAACAAAAACCAATTATGTTTTGTTGTAATTCAGATGATCCAGTGACATTCTGGGGAATCCCTGTGGGACAAAACACATCTGGTATGGAACCATTTTGTTCACATGGGACAAGTCAGTTGTGATTTGGAAAATGCCTTTCATTTCTCCCATAGAGAAATCTGCTTAAACCCAGAGTCCATTATATGGATGTCATGCACTACAGAGCGAACCGCTACTTCAGAAATCTATGTTTCATCATATAAGCAAACTGACACCCATGCACTGTTTTTAAAAATGCCCACACACTTCTCACCTGCAGTGGCCCCTCTGTCTCAGCAAGGGCTCTCTCCAGTCTTCTTTTCACCTCAGTTAGTGCTGCTATCTCTGTCACCATGCTGTCAATCTCATGGTGCAGCTCAGATCTCCAGAAGCTGATGTCACTGAGCCTCTCTCCGAGGTTCCTACTGGTGTTCTCCTGTGTCCTGCGGGTCAGCTGCTCTCTATCCTGAATCAGTCTGATCGTGTCCCTCCGCAGCCTCTCCGCACTGTTCCTAGATGACTCTGATTCTCGGTAGTTATTGTAGTTGGATTTAAACCAGTCATCAGGCGTATAGCGGGTATTCAGTGCTGTTCTGTTGGATGGATAGAACATGGTCTTGGCCCGGACCAGCTCCAGGTTGTCCCTCTGGGAGGTGGACATGATAGAAGGAATAGCACTTCCGGTCCTGAAGTAGGTGTTAGTCCTCCAGGGCATGTTGGCGTTTTGGTTGGTGGTCAGGGCCGGTTGAAAATTCTTATAACTGGATGCCGTAGTGGAAATGGCTGGTAAGAAGTTGCTGGTCTTGGGCCGTGTGTATGTGGCCGTCTGCGTGGATCCGATGAGCTCCATATGTCAATCAAAAATACTCAACTGCTTTCTTGAGATATGAGAAAGATAACTGTTATGATGAAAAGAATGCATTATTATAATTATATAATTGTAATATACTCATATAATTGTATAAATATTGCTGTAAATTGAGTAATATTGTTAGGAAATATAATAAAAGAGTGGCTTTATCTGTCAGAGACTATGGTATGCATGACCCATCTATGCAGTGCATTACCTATAATGCTGTGCATCACAATACCTGAATCCACCCTAACTATAAATCACTGATGCTAATTGAAGAAATTCATTGTTTACTTTGTACTGGTAATAAATGTGAAATATTGCACTTGCTATGTAATCCAGTAATCTGAAATATGTCTTTTTACTTTCCCATGAGTCAAAGGAAAGTTACACACATATTGTTTGGGATTAATCCTGACACCAAAGGAAAGAAAAGAAGAAAACAAAGTAGAAAACTTGCGCATTAAGTGCTTGTAAAAGTTAATCAGTTTAAGCTGTTGTCTATTCTCATCTACATCGCCCATATTTTAGAGCCTTACCAGTCCAGATGCTGCATTCAAGGTTGACTCAGGTGCACGTATGGCTGTAGAGAGACGCTTCTGGTGAGCCAAAGCGCACATTCAGAGTGACTGAATAAGTGTGCATGGCAGGCTGCCGTTCTGCAGTATTGCATTATTGATAGACAGCCACTCCGGCCAGTCAAACAACCCAGAGGCTTTTTTTTTTGTTGTGAGTAAAGTGAGTAAAGCCACATTAGCCAGAGAGTTGCCTGAGGGGCAGTTGCCATGGGAGTGAAGTTAGGGAAGCTTCTCAGACAAACGAAAGGCCTTTTCCTATTCCCCACTCTGTAAATGATACTGTCTGCTGTTTGCCCTGTTTATGGTTCTAAAGGGATTTCTGTGTTTGTTTTGTTTGTGCTGTTCTGTGTTTTGAGTCTGTTTCCTTTTTATCGTAGCTTCATGGATTGTCTTTGTGTTGCACTGTTGTTTTCATGTTCATTCTATGTGAAGCTATCTGACTCTACTATTCTACAACCCTGTTTCCAAAAAGGTTGGGACACGGTGCAATGTAAATAAAAATAGAATGCAATGATGTGCAAATCTAATGAACTATTTAACTGAAAATAGTATAAAGACAACATAACAAATATTGAAACTGAACATTTTTTATTGTTTTTTGAAGAATATATGCCCATTTTGAAATTGATGGCAGCAACACATTCCAAAAAAGTTGGGACAGGGGGATGTTTACCGCTGTGTTGTGTTACCTCTTGTTTTAACAACACTTTGTAAGTGTTTAGGAACTGTGGAAAAAGTAAACTTTTTCACATGATATAGGATTTCAGCTGCTCAACAGTTTGGGGTCTCCTTTATTGCACTTTTCATTTCATAACTTGCCAAATATTTTTAGTGGCTGACAGGTCTGGACTGTAGGCAGGTCAGTTTAGCATCCATTGTAATACATTATGTGAAGAATATGGTTTGACATTGTCTTGCTGAAATAAGCAAGGCCTTCCCTGAAAGGCCTTCCACCCAATGACCGCTGGGATAGCCTCCAGCAACCCCCATGACTCAAAATGATAAGCAGCTTAGATAATGTGTATTATTATTATTATTATTATTATTATTATTATTTATGTACAACAGTTCAGCACAAAATGTAATTTAATAACTGAGGGAAAGTTCTTTATTGACGTGATTCTGTTTTTTGTTCTGCCAAATACAAATAAATCTCCATTTCCATTAATACTGTATGGGCACCACTGGTCAAACGATGTGTTTTGATGATTTTCTAAGATTAAATAAGTTATACATCCACCACAGAAAACACACATCTGCACATTTTAGTACACAATTACTGTTTATTTGCAAAATCTCATATATTGGGAGAAAAAAAAAAACATGAAATATGGCCTGTGCAAAAGTTATGCCACTAAAATTTGAAGAAAGGCCATTTTAAAATGTGTTCTTTGTAGTGTATACGGTAGCTTAATCACTTCGAAAATGAACCAAACATGTAATTTAAGCACGTGTATTCTTTTGCATAGTTCCATTACTTTTGCATTTGATTGTATTTAGTCAGCTATAGTCATCGATTTCTGATCTATATGAAGTGCTGACACAGGAGAGCTGCATGTGGAGGCCATTCAGACCCCCTGGTGCGTCTCTGTATGAATCTCTTTTGGCCAGCATTCATCCTGAACCAGTGAGTTAGCTGTCACACAATCCAGTCATGCCAAATTAATCACCCATGAAAACAAAAGATAGCTGAGGCAACAGGGCACGCAAGTCCTCTAGAGCCACACACACTGCTCTCACACACTGAGCACTCTCACACACTGGGAATCGACTGTGGCTGCACTGTAGATATTATTTTAGTCATATAATTAATAGTTCCAGTAGTCTCTTTACCTGATCTTGCTCATCTAGCATTGCAGTTGTATTAATGTAAATGGCTTTTTATCAGTTATAGGAACTAATGCAAAGTTAAGATATTTTAACTCCTTAAACTATAAGCGTCTTTAAGTGGGCTCACACTTTAATTCCTCTCATCACAACATAACCAGTAATTCTGTAATAGTTAGTGAATAATGAGTCTTGAAGGGCCAGATTACACCTAACTATTATTGCATCCCTATTCACCTTCTGGAGCAGTGAAACTGACAAGATTTCCCACTTTAAAGGCATTAAACCCCTTTCTGATGGTGTATCTTGAAGGTGGGAGGAAGGGTTGAAAAAAAAAAAAAAGCATTGTTGAGTTGGGCTGTTTAAAGGTTTTATGTTCACTGGCCAATAAATACAGAAGAAAACAAGATCGCTAATGTTATTGCTTATTTTAACCTTATAACTTATGAATATAACTGTAGTAATTGTCTATCAGTCATCATTACAATGGGTTACCCAAATGACATGAAAGCAACAAGCTGAAAGCTAAAGTTAGCAATGTAGCTACCAGGCTATGTGGATACCTCACATTTGGTTCATTTTCCACATCCACTTATGCTGCACTCTGCAAACATTATTCAGTTGAATTGTGTCTGTGATAAAGAAAAAACATTAATGACTAAGGTAATGACCAAGGTAAGCATAACACTAACGCTAGCTTGTTTGTATTCATTAGCCTTTATATTAGTGGCAAAGCTAGCAGTTAGGATTGAATTGCACTGCCTGGATTCCCAGTGGTTGTCTGATGTATTTACATAATGCATGCCAGATATTGTAGTGAGGAAACATTGATGAACAAAAACATGAAAACAATATAAAATGGTGAATTTGGTCAAACTGATGAAATGCTTCACTATAGAATACTGCTTTTAGATTAATAACTGAACAATAAGACTTGTTTTCAACAGATTAAAGCTAAAGATTAAAATCCGGCTCAGAACATGTGTAGATGTCTCTAAAATTCCAGTTTCAGGTTTCCAGCTGAATGCTGAACATACGAGGCCACAGTCTGTTTTAACAAGTCCTAAATCCAGATGCAGAGGAAATAGAGGTATTCCTGTGTGCATAAGGCTGCAAGATGTATGTATTTCTGATGTGTGCTGTAGGGGTGTGCACATATGAATAGGAACCTCAGCTGGATGTAAAGATTTTAATCTTGAAGGGTATGTGTGTGTGTGTGTGTGTGTGTGTGTGTGTGTGTGTGTGGAGAACTTTCACAGCTGCATATATTTACCTCTGTCAAATAGTTTTATCTGAAAAGCAGTGGGTTTTTCACTATATGGTACAAGTGGGACACACACCCTTCAAGAATGTGCAGAGGAAAAGGCAGCATCCTTTTTTTTTTTAACATATACTGAAATACGTCCCAGGTCCCAGCCTGGGACACATATGGTTAAGCACATGTTCTCATATTCAAGTGTTACAGAATTTTCAAATGCAGCTAATACTTTATTTCTTAAATGTTGCACTGTTTTTAATTAAGATATAAATTAAAGGACCTGGATGTCATGGCTGTGCTTTGTAGATGAGCCAAGCTACTTTAAATCACTACCTTTTGGTTCTGGTAGGCCCAGGGTGACCAGTCTTTAAAGGGACTCTAGCCAAAATAAAAAATGTAAAGGTTGATACATCTGTTGTAAACATACCGACATGTCTCAGTGCTGTAGTGGTCTCTAAAGTGGGATTTTCTGGTATGAGACAAGGAAAACCCCCTTCTGATGATGTATGTTAAGGATGGAAAAAGTATTGAAAAGCAGCTTTATAACTGTTGTAACTGGAGATTTGTGGCTTTCTAGATATCTTACCTCAGTTTGGCTACATTTGACTGAGGTAAGAATTACTCAAATGCATGGCTTGGCTGTATATATTAGCCTATAGCTCAGTGGCTAGGCTCAGGATTGACACCACAGGAATGCTCAATGTATATATGACATATTTGTGTAATGAATGAATTCTAACTACATGGCACTTATTTAAAACTGTGTTAATATCAAATATACTTGCTAATATAACTTCTGACACTGCATTTATTCTATAAAATAGACAGAAGTGAATTACATAGCCAAAATCAGTAGTACAAGCCATCTTGACCATCTTGACACCAAACATGTCAAGGGTGATCAGTTGTATCTGTTTCAATTTGATTTTTGGCTAAACTATTTCTAGATCTTTACCCCATACACATCCAGGGCCCAAAGTTTTATTACATACTTCTATAACCTAAGAATAGCTCAGCCAGTTTGCACTGACGTATCTGTAATTACTGAATAATAAGCCTTAGTATGTAATAAGCCTGGGATTTTAAGGGGTTAGCCCGCATTTAATGCAATGCTCTCTGTGTTTGCATCATTCTAGTTTAACATATTTGTGTTTAGAGAGGCTTTTTTGTATACTGAGGCTGAACAAGTGTCCCAAACAGAGCTCCATCCATCTATGGCATGGTCCAAAGTTCTTATTACAGTTAATCGTTTTTAGTGCATGTGTTTTATTTGAAATTAATTGAATGATTTAGTCACCCATGTGTGGACAAATCAGTTTATCTCTGCTCTATTATTATAGGTTTTAGGCCGCGTGCCATAAC